TGGAGCTGGCAGTGGCAGGGATGAAGAATTGTTTAGACCAAAATGTGTAGCATGAGGGCCGGCTTGTTGGGGTTTCTGTCCCGCCCGGTACCCCACAGCCGGCAACTCCCAAGGAAAATCACACACAAGACTCCATAAGATTATAAACTGATTGGCCCATTAGGTCAGGCTTCTTATTAGTCCTTGTAACTTATATTAATCCATTATCATTATCTATGTTAGCCATAAATGGCTCAGTACCTTTTCCAGCTGGGCAGCTTACATGTTTCCTCTCTGGTGGTCTGGGCAGAACTGGCAGAGGGAACTTTCTAGAATATTCCCAGTCTCTTTGCTCCACCTCTACTTCCTGTCTGGCTCTCCTGCCTATACTGCCTGCCTGGCCAATCAGCGTTTTATTAAAATATGATTGACAGAATGCAGATAATTCTCCTGCACCAAAAATGTAAAAGATTTATCTTCGTTTTGGGTGTTGAAGGTGGAGAGATAAGAATTTTGTTGGAGATAAGAATTTTGTTGGAGAGAACCAGTGATCTGGTGAGCCCTGCTGCTTCTGAACAGGATCAGCTCCCAGAGTCACTGGTAAGACTGAGACGGATGGGGGGGACACAGTGTTCCCTAAAGGTATTTGACTTGGAGTTAAGCAGTGTTAAGTACTCTCAAGGCGGTTAATGTCTGTATATAAGAATCCTCTAGCGTTTACTTCTTCAAATAAACTAAGCTACTGAGCGTCAGCCCTGTGGTACCCGTAGGGGGATATCTTTCAGAATCTTCTCAGTGCCTGGTTGCCTCTATCGAGGGAGGGACTGCTGACGGGGTAGGCTCCTCCCACCTCACTGCCTTTATTCTGAGTTCGGGCCTTAGGTGGCACGGGCTAACTTCAACTTGTGTAGCTAAGGCTGACCTGGGATTACAAGCAATGTATTAATTACCATGCCTGGCTGGGGCAGCCTTTCCGTATACAGGCTGTCATCGTGATATCCTAGCTGCTTTGAGTACCTTGAAGAAATCACAATCCGGCTGCAAGGAAGGTCGCTGCTGAAGCCACAGAGCCCTGGCTCGGGAGGCCTTCCACCAGACGAGATCCTTCTGGGAGGTGTGCAGCGCGGTTGGGAGACTCCACTTCCAGGCAGGGCAATCCTGGGTGGACTCTGGATGCTGCTGCCCACCTTGCAGCTCTCCTCACTCAGGAGAGGAGGGGAAAGCACCCTCCCGGCTCTTCAGCTGGAAGGCTGCCATTCTGCTGCGAAGCCTGTGGTTGGTTCCCGAGGACTATGATCAAGAATGTGAAAGGACTGGTTGGCGGAATTATAATCTGTGTGCAAGTATGCTGTGCTTTTCTTCTGCCTGTGTAAGCAGGCTGTTTCCCACTGCTGTGGGGGGATATCTGGGAGGAGGTTTTCTCCTGTCTGTCCCCCATCACATTCCAATGTCAGGCCCATTGAAGGCTTCTTTCAATTGTTTTTTTTTTTTTAATTGCCTATCAATGATACATGTCAATGGTTAGAGCGGGCTGGACTGGTTGTACCAATGTATTCTGAGGCTGTAAGAAGGCAGTTGTGGGATTTCAGAGGGTGGCCTGGAGCAGACACTTTAGAAAGCTGAGGTTTCTGAAGGTGAGAAGATAGGCTGAAAACCCCACTTCCCCTGAGAGCTGTCAAGGGTTAAAAGCTGGTGGTCCCAACACCTGGTACTAGGGAGTGGCAGTATTAGCTGCCAAATACCAGGCTGCTGCCAATCAAAGCTAGGAGCACCCACATCTGTAAGTCTGTAACTTTGAAAGCTTGGGGCCACAGCCTCTCATTCTCCGAGCCTAGGACTGTAAGCTAGGGGTTTTTTGCAAGCCCAACCTATAAACCTTGGGCACTCAGGGTCTCATTTATGACAAGGTGGCTAGGCATGTCCCTTTGGTTTAATGTTTTGATCTCAGGTTTGGCATTTGTACCATTCTTCAACCTGATTTTGGAGTCCAGGTAGACACATCTGTGCCCAGGAGCATTACCTGTGAGGACAGCGGTAGACACAGTTGTTCTGCAGTGAGGCTTCAGATTGCCCCATTTGGTTGCTAGGTTCTTATTTTCCAAGGTCTTTGTCCCATTTTGTTGCTAGGTTCTTATTTGCCAAGGTCTTCTCTCTGGGTTGTTGTGTGACTACTTGGGAGGACACATGCCTGTTTGCCCAGGTAGGGCTCTAGCAACAGACAGAATGAGTTATTTCATGTAAGCCTACCTCAGTGGCCAGTGAATTTCCTAGAGTTACTTGTAGGGCTGGAGAGGTGGCTCAGCTGTTAAGAGCACTGCCTGCTTTCCTGAAGGTTCCGAGTTCAACTCCCAGCAACCACATGATGATTCAACCTTCTATAATTGGGGAAGAGACCTGGTCAGTCGTCCTCATCAACTTAGAACATGAAACCCAACATGGACACGTTCAACAGAACCACCATGCATGCTTCAACATCGCCAGGGCATACATTTCATTTTTCATTTCACTTACAGGGACACGGGTGACCTAGAGGCATCTGCCTCATGGAAGAGCCTTTTCCACTGTGCGCATCCGAAGCTCCCTGCAGCTTGTAGGCATCAACACCGTGGAAGTGTCCCCTACCTCCAGCACGTGTTCCCTGCTCCTGTAATGTGGGGAAGGAGCCTCACTAGGCTGTTAGCTCTCTTGTAGCTTGTGAGTTTCCCAAGCCTTCCTCCTTCCCTCCTTAAGAAGTGCTTCAATCTCAAGAAAACGACTTGTTACCTGAAGGGCTGGGCGAGCAGGCGCCATGGATCGCACAGGTTGATTTATGCTAGAGATACAGGGCTAAAATTTGCTATGTAAATGATGTGGCAGTTTGGTGAGTCCTATTTTTGGTAATTTGTAGTAGGTAAGCCAAGAGCACGTTGCCGTTCCGAAGACATTTTTAGAGGACCTAAAAGTGAGGTTCTATTTTGATGCTTTTTGAGAACTTGAGAGGCTTTCTCTTGGCAAGAGGTAAGAAGATCTGCCGGTGTCTTTGACAAGTGGTCTCAGGGGAACAGCTTGCCATCTGCAGGAGGCCTCTTCAGTGCCCCACTTAGGATGTTTTGGATTGGCTGCTTTTTTCACAGAGAGCATCCGGTTGTCTTAAGAGGAGGCTGGCAGAGAATACAAAGCCTTGGGAACAGATCCAAGACCACAGAGGAACAGGCTCAGAGAGCGTCAGCGGCCATCAGAAGAGGGCTTTCCTTACATGGCACCACGCGCTTCCCAGACACCCCCTGAAAAATATTGCAGTCTTCATGCAGGGAGGGAGTCGTATGCTAGGGGCTGGCGTCTGCTCTTTTCCTGGGACCCACAGTGTCCCTCTGGCACACCATAGGTAACAGTGTAGTAATAAAGCCCTCACCATGGAAACAACATTGATTCACTTTTACAAGTCCTACTCTTCGGAGAGAGGCTGGAGTCTGTGCAATTTCTGTTTGTTATTATCAACCCCAACTAGCTTATGCCAAGAGTCTACTGTATGTAGACTTTAGAAGGGCATCATCCATCTCAGCAACCACCCCTCACCTTCGAGGAAGATGGCTCCTATCACATTTTACTTAGGATGAATCTGAAAGAACTTCCCTTTGCCTGGACTTTGACCCAGATCCTATAGGGTGGCACTTATACCTCGAGCCAGGTTGTCATTTTCTCGTCCTCAGAGAATGTGATCTTTTGTTCACCGGGCATTGTTTGCATGAATTTTATCTTTTTGAACTGCTGCATTCGTACTATTGCTCTCAGTTATTGAGTTGTTGGTGCTCAGGTAGCCCTGCTTTGGGAAGGCAGGAAGGGTTAGGAAGCTGTAACTCAGTCCTGTGGATACCTGGGTTGTGTCTTCCTCTCCAGTGTACATGTATGTATGTATCTGTGGTGTGTGTGTATCTCTCTGTGTGTGTACCTTTGGGCTGTGTGTGTGTATCTGTGGGGTGTGTGTATTATATGTGTGTGTATCTCTCTCTCTCTCTCTCTCTCTTGTGTGTGTGTCTGTGTGTGTATCTCTCTCTGTGTGTACCTTTGGGCTGTGTGTGTGTATCTGTGGGGTGTGTGTATTATATGTGTG